ACCCCTATAAAGCCTTAAGGATTTGAAATTGACAGGTCTGGTACACGTTTTGGAGGTCTTGAACCATATTACCTCTAGGATCTAGAATCTTTCTCCTATGATAAATCATGTGTTATAAAGTAACGAGTTGTGTCCGCTAATGTCCTTCAATCAGGCCCCCCCCCACCTTTCTTAAATATTGTGCAGAGCAAACGGTACGTTAAAAGATTCAAAGAAAATAAAAATAAAAATGGTAAAGTTAATGCGGCTTCGTGGTGTACCGTATCTGCTTTGTACTAATACTGTACAAGTACAGTATCAAACTCGTGGTTTCGGATCACGTTTAATAACGACACCCCCCCCCCCCTCTGTCAATCAGCTTCATTCCCAAATGCACAACTACCTCCCTCACCTGTTTATCATCATTGTCTTTTGCGGCAAATCACGTGTTACATGCCAACGATTCAACATGGGGACGGGAAGGAATATGGGGGGCTCAACCGACGGACCAAAAGAAAATTCCCGAATACCAAGACATCTTCGGAGTGAGCTCCAGAGCTACTATAATCTCTGAGAGAAATATGTCTAGCGAATATAGGATTCTAGTACACGATCTTGTAGTGTGCATGGGTTTGGAAAATCACAGTCTGGACGAGCAATACCCATGGATGGTCACTCGGTATTGGGACTGCTTACCACCCCTGCCACCAGATTACCGCTCCCCTCCTCTTCTCTCTCCCTTCCTCTGACGCGCTTAAGTGATATCACAGAACCGGCGATCCACAAGGAAGGTCGAGTATGTAGTCGTCCCTAACTTATCTGCGTCTACAATTTCATGGTTACAACAGTCGTTAATATCTCTGCCACCAACCCATTCATTCTATATAGAAGCATTTATTCTTTCCTTCACAAGGAAATATGCCCCCTGTGTGTCCCCATACTTCACCCCTACCTGGTGTACCGGTGTGGTGCGAGGAAGGTTTTAGGGGTTTTCTGGTCATGTTTGCTGGGTTTTTGCCCATAGAATTTTCTGTTTGAGATGAGGCTTAGCAGGTGGCTGTTTTTCACCTGGAGGCATGGCCTTGCCTTCCTCAGAGAGAGTGGAGGGACAAGACAGCGAGAACCCATCCTGTACAACCAACACCACCACCTTCTTTACTGTTGTTTCTGGGTGCTGTTTTCCCCACTCCTTTCGCTTGCTTTCTCACTGTGTTTTACTGTCAACTTTATCAGTATAATTCTACACTCTTATCCGATCAAATATTACGTTGTACGGTTACCACAATTGCACAGGTGTCAGCTCGGTCAATCACACCATCCAAAATCCGGAAGACAACCGAGACACTTCCACACCGGTATGATACCGGAGAACGGGGATCGGGGATCGGGGATCGGGGGAGTGCAATATATGGCAAACCATCCGTGTGTGTCAAAGCCACAATACTAAACGGGCACCTCGCATTTTCTAGTATGGTGCCGGGCACTTGAAATCAACCCTCATGGGGTAACTTATTTTTTTTCTCTTGCATAGCACATAAATAGTGGGGCTTGGCAAAGGTAACATCTGAAATGGCCATACATGGGTAATTCCAATTGTTTTTACTATCCATCTCGACTAATATTGCCCCGATCGAAGATCAGTAGATAAACATACAATTGGAGAGGAGTGTCTTCCGAGAAATTCTATGATATGAAGCCGTATCTTCCCAAAAATGTGCTTGCGGTCAAAAGGTTTTCGAGAATTGTTCCCGTGTTGCTTTTTGGTTGATTTCAAGTTGCCCGGCTAGGCGCCATGCAGCCGCATCTCTCTCTATCCCTCCTTGCTAAAATCCAACGGGTCTTTCTAGAAAAACAAGTGATCCGGGACAACGAGTCAAGTTTTGCTGTGAAAGTCTTTTGAATTCGAGGCATTCCATACTGGACTGGGAGGTATCCAGATTGTTGAATTCCGGGACGGCGAGGGTTGACTGTACTGTACTTTTACTAGTTATATGTATTATGTTGCCTGGTATGGTGTCTACTAGATTCATTAATGATATTGTGCACGGTTGTGAAGAGTAGGATGCTAATTTGCTAAATACAGTAAATTTACGAGTACTATACTGGTAGGATATTTTCTGGCGTTTGCAAAAACAGCTAGGCCCACATATGTTGCCACGGCACCTCTCTTAAGACCTGCGAAAACACGAAATGCAAGTAAATAATTATTTTCTTTTTTCTTTTTGTACTTTTTTTAAAATTTTTCGATTTTTTGCTTTAGCTTCTTATAGTAGTCAAGACTCTATGAGAAAGCGATAGCTCGTAAAGTTTTCTAATTCGTATTATCATCAGCAAGAAAAAATGGTAGTAGAAAGGAGGGAGGAAAATAAAGAGGAACCAAACGGGAAGAAAGGAGCGTTTTATAGATATTGGAGGTACTAAGCTAGCTAGCAAGGCATTATTTTAAGCCTCAGAGTGCACACGCGATTAATTCTGCACAGAGCTGTGCTGTAGAATTCATAAATTGACGTGGTGCACAATAGAGATGTTCTCTCCGCCACCCTCCGCCCCTCTGTGTCCCCCCCATCCGCATTTATCCCCCAGTTCTTGAAAATCCAGAAGCCAGAACCGCCTGGTGTTCGCAGTCGACAACTACCAAAAACGTTCACCATGTCTGACCGCGGTCGATATTACACTGGCAGGGCGGCGTATCCACCGCTGGTGTTTGAGCTTCCGAAGAGTCGTAATCAAAAGTTTATTTGTACGAATTGGTAAGAAAATTGCCTCTCGTATGGCATAAAGTCTAGAGCGTCCAAAGCTAATCAAAAGTACTTCACACGCTTAATAGCGTTGCCATTTCTCTACAGGATTTTCCAGTTGAGTGATGTGCTATCTGTGATGACCGATACATCCTCAGTCTGCCCCGCTAATGCCATAAAACCAGACACGGTAGATTCAATTCTGCTGATAGGGAATGGGTTCAGTGGCCCCTGTGTGGAAGTGCCAATATTGCACATTTCGATCCTTTCGCTCACGGTAGAGCTGGTTACTTAGGGAGCTTGGATTTGGAAATTGGTTTTGCAACTAGGAAAATAAGCGATGGGAGGTATGACTAGGATGACCCTGCGCGGTTTTTTGTTATAGTATTGACGGTTCCATTTTTCGCGTTTGCTTCCTCCTTCCTCCAGTCACCTCTTGCCCTCCTCATCGTCGAGCTTTCGGATAATTTCGCGAAGCTTATCTATTTTCCACTAGAGGTTTCAAAATCAAATCTTTGCTCCACCGCCGCGAGCGAAAATTGGATATCCGAAATATCAAAGTCCTGATTGTGCTCAAAACTGTGCCGATATTCAAGCACCACCACAAAAATTCCTCTTTTCCTACCTATGCTACAATAACCTCTAATCCTTCAGACTACCGCATCCTTACCCCTAACACCTGCATCACATTTTACAAAGCTACGAATCGGCCAAGCAAGATCAAAGGCTCCAGGAAGCAAGCAGCAGCTAAGGATATTATCCAGCCAAACTTCCAAGATATGGCTATTGGAGGTCTTGACAGGGAGTTCCGCGGGATTTTCCATCAAGCCTTTGCATGTCGTATTTTTCCGCCTAGCCTTGTGGAGAACCCGGAACCCAAACCCCGAAGGGAACCCCACTCCCTGGACCTCCGGGGACCGGCAAAACCCCGACGGCTAGGCAGATTGGTAAGATGCTGAAAGCGAGGGAGTCTAAGGATCTTAACGATCTGGAAATCTTGAATAAGTTTATCGGACAATCAGAGGAGAACATCAGAAAGTTGTTTGCGGATGCGAAAAAGCAGTACAAGGGAAAGGCAGAAGAGAGCGGGTTAATACCATCATATTTGGCGGTCTGGGTGCTATCTGCAGACCGAGGGGGGGTAGGAACGGTGGGGCTGGGGTTGGAGGTTGTGTCGTGAATCACCTGCTCTTGGAGGTATGTTCGAAGTCACTTTTGTCCATCGTGTTTGCTGACAAGAGTGGTATCTTAGCTAGATGGTGTTGGTCAATTGGACGGTATCTTGGTTATTGTAATGATAAATCGTATGGACATGATCGGTGAAGCTCTTCAGCGCCCGGACCGTCTCGAAGTACACGTTGAGATTTCTCCCTGACAAGTTTGGCCGAAAACAAATCCCGAAGATCCACACAAGTAGGACGAATGAAAATCAGGTGATGGGTTACGATGTCGATATCCGGGGGCTGGCCGCCAAGACAAAGAACATTTTAGAAGCTGAGATTGCTGGATCAGTTAAGAGAGCAAGCAGTTTTGCATTCAATCGACAAGTGAAGGTATAAATTGTGTTTGCTTTTGAGTGACTAGTTTCTAATCAATTCATAGGTTGGAACGATTGCTGGGGTATCGGAGGACCTTGCGAACCCAGTGTTCTCAACCGCCCTGTCCGTCCGTCTTTGGGGTAGGAAGGGGTGGACTATAGCCGGCAGTCCGTCATTTTAGCAGTGCTAGGACGGACTACGCCCGGACTGGTAGGACTGGGCGATTACCCAAGACTGCCGTCCTACCTCCTGAAATCCTGTTAATAAAATGACCCTGTCAGCCACAAGGTTTCAACCATCCCTGAGGTTGTTTGTGGTATGATCTGTTCCCCGGCAGTCCCTCGCCGTGCCTAGTGGTCCCCGCCGTCCCCCTTACCAACGATGTTTCACCCCGCAGGGCACGCCGTCCTACCTAAAGACGGCCATCCTCCACTTCACAGCTCGGATGGACTGCCCATGGCCGTCCAGTCCCGTCCAGGGCTCTCGGGGGTTCCCCATGGGGCCCCGCCGGGCCCCTGGATGATTGGGAACACTGGTTTGAGGGATTCAAACTAACATCTTCCACCTTTGAGGGGCAAGCAAATTTCGACTAGTTCCACCCGTACAGTCACTATTGCTCCGGTTCACAGCAACTACAATCCCACCGCAGCGCTAGGCGAGGGGTATACTACCATCCTTTGGTACGATCCTTGGCCGTGGGATCTATCTCGGCTTAAGGTATCTGTTAACCCCACGACTGGAGTTTAACATGATATTTTCAAAGACACCACATTGCGCACAGTTGTGGTTGGCGTTCCGGAAACTATTGGAAATGCCTCCAAAGATTGTCATAGCTGTTTCGCCCTAAATCATTTGAAATCTTGTAAATAACTTTTGGTTGGGTCTGGAAATGGTTTTTATTACTACCTTTTGCTAGGGGCTCGGTGATGAAATAGTTCGGAATAACACATTATTAGTACAAATAAAAATTTCACAAATTATTTACTTGATTCTATTAATTCCAATAGTGACTCACACTTGTAAAAATCGTGTCGGTTGCGGGTGATAGATTCATCGTTCAGCCTCCTGGAAAGTTGCTTGTAATCGGGCCAGCAGAGTTAGCGCCACTACACCAATTGATCACGCGGGGGTGCTCTTGTTTATGACATCAAAAAAGAGCCCACAATAGCCCTCCTCCATTCAAGCAGATTCAAACTGACAACTCCGAGTCCGCTTGCAAACGTGCCTTTTCCCACCCCGGCCTCCTCATTGAGACTTTATTTGTTGCCCTGGTCTTTGAACTACGATCCCGAATCCTGGGTACCCACTTATCCCTCTTTGGCAGAGGGCCTAAGCCAGATGTCTTACCGGATGCCTGATTCCATAAGTAAATGTATGGCGGTAAGCCGGCCTAGTATTTCCCCTCTTCTCAACCCAGGAAGACGAGAGGATAAGGTGGCCTATGATCACTTTGATGTCGAACCCCTCTCTCAGGTTTTTTTCCCAAAAATAATAGAGAACGAACCTGCCCACTTGAATCCCGGCCCTTTTTGAACTTGTTAAGACTTCCGAGCCCAGAATATCATTTCTGTTTCCCTGTCATATGACCGGGGCTAAGTGATTATCCAGTCTCTTCCAATCATTAGACATGGCTCAGGAGGTGAATGGTACAAGCTCCCCAATTTAGTTCCGATCCTAGTATCCCAGATTTGATACCAGTAGAGCGGGAGGTGATGTCAATAGCAACAACCCGCAAATAACCACGAAAGATCATCAATACGCGCGCATCCGTCATGATGTTACCCTTATCTGCTATGGATTTTTGGACATTTTGGGTGGAAGGTATGTATCTAACAGGCGTATTCAGGTTCAGGGAGGAAAGGAACTCGCATACACGGGTGGGTGCTAAGAAAAGCATTTTTCCTCCTTCTTTTTCACTCTCTGCAGTCATCTTTAGTAGTTGGTATAGGTTATCGGTCCGGTTGGAAAATAGAATATACTGTGTTCGGGACAAGCCCCCCATTCTTTTCCTTCTCAAGTCTCCTCGATGCTTTCGGAAATAGCGCTCCGGTCAATGGGTATCTCCTCGTGAGTACTGATAGATGTATAGCTCATGCCAATAACGTCAGTTGCCTGTGGAATCCTGCCCGCTATAACCCAGCAAAAGAACGCCGGACCGGAAAGTGGTCGCACGGCTCCAAGCTGCAAGCTTGACTCGGGCATCAACGGCACATGATGTTGGAATCTGAAAGGGACATCTTATTAGACTATATAAAACAAGATCTTTCAAAATGACCGGCCACGCGAGCACATTTGCCAGGATACGAACAATGCACCGGTAAACACCAAAAAAAATAAAAAATACCAAGCAACTGGAAAGCAGTATTTACTCGTACTAGCAGTCCCCCCTCGAGATTTTGAGGGCCTCTTCCTAGCATCAAAATATTATAGAATCATAGAAGCCTTTTCATGAACCCTACTGTTTGAAAACCTGAACTTCACCTCCACTCTCTTGAAAATTCTCTGGAGAAAGAAAACAAGAAAAAAACTTTCTTGGGCCC